GTTGTATTCCACATTGTACAGTATATAAAAACTATGTTGCCATGAAGGGGAAAAAAAATCAAAAAAGACTTGCAACTTGACTTGAACTTTAACACCCATGACTCGGGACTTCACTTGGACTTGATACCGTCCATTAAAAGCCAAAATATTAAGAAGACTGTAAATCAAAAAGTGTACAACGAATACATGTATTTCCTGAATCAACTAACTTTAACCCTTTTCATTCCAAGCTAAATTCTCTTTTGTTTAAACCAGTCTGACAGCATCAGATGAAGTTGCAGGGGAGAACCATGAAGAACTAATGTTACTCACCAGCAGCTGGAAAAGATTACACCAGAGAGTATTCGTCCATGTACAAAAGCTATGACGTGGTCAACAAAAAATGAATTGCAGAATGCAAAATGTGCGGGTCAATAATTACAGACAGAGATGCAAACGGCATTACAATTGGTGAAGAGTGCATTATGACTTGTTTAGGACTTGAAACTAGGACATGGGGCTTAAGTGCCAAGACATGAGGCTTTCTTGTGACTTGCAAAGCAACGACTTGGTCCCACCTCTTATCATCTAATGTTAGCATTTACATTAGCTGCTAGCATGGCGGTAGACTCTCGGTCTTGTTTCAAACACGATTCATTCATTTCCAACCAAATTTCCCTTTTAGCTAACTCTTAAAAGCTCTGGCCTCCTTGCAGAAGGTGAAAACAAGCAGTCTGTATAACTGATAACCTTATTCTGTGAACGTCACATTAATGATTAATGCCCTAAACCCCGCTCTCTACAGTATACTCCATATATTACAGAGATATAATGTAAAAATGTATCTGAAACAGGACCATCGGTTCCAGCCACAAGCTAATGACACTGCTGGAAAGATGCAGTCTGGTCAGCACTTCAAAGCTGCTCTGTAAGCAGTTTAATTTGGGCTCATTAGCCGTGCGCCCACTGAATTAATACCCAAATAGCAGGTCAGGTTTTACCTTGGCGCTGAATGTCTGATGGATTTTTTATTGGCTTGCAGGCCCTGAAATGTAGAGCCCATCTTAGTTTTTCTTCTTTTTGGATACATCATTAAAGGCAAACATGCATAATCCTCTGTTATAGTTATAGCTGCCTTTATCATCTCATTCATTCATTTTTTTTAAAGCAAACAAATATCAACATTGTGTGAGAATTGTGATGCAGCGGGCACCTTCATCGATAGCTCAATCATCAACGAATGCTGGGATTTCACCTCCGAAGTAAAGTTGCCTCTGAATAAAGGAAATATGAACGTGCCTTCAGGATCTGCTGCTTGTTGAACAAAAGGCAGAACATTTGTTGACTGTCAGGGAAGAAATCGTGATGGTTGTTCAGATATTTATGGAAACAATAATAACCATGCTGAAGGTTACAAACAACTTTAATTAAAGGCTTTGTGAGCAACCTCATGTCGACTGTCTCTGTGAAGCTTTAGCAAAAGAAAGACCCGAAACTCCAGAAAGACTCCTTTAAACTTCAAACTTCAACTGCAACACCAAACGTTTAACCTGCTTTCACCATATATGCTGAACATAAGCGAGTTTCCCCAACAAGCTCTTCTATGTGTTTGAGCTCCCACCTTACATGTGTGTCAGAGTTGGGCAAAACCTTTACGTTTCATGTTTAATATTGACAGTGTACCCCGTCAACATTAAAGTCAACATTAAAATAACTTTGAGGTCCGGGTTGATAGAAATCCGACTTCAGGCAGCGTTTGAAGCGTTTCCTTGGAACTCGAAAATGTCAATGTTCAAATGAAACACAGCATCTGTTGTAAGTCTACAATAATGTAGACAGCCAGACTATAGAGAACCAAGGGAATAACAACCGGGTGTTTTGGAGGAAAGAAGAAATAAATTACAACCATATAAAAGTGAAGTTTAAGGAAAGAACCTTTTTCCTCTTGTGTAAAGTAAAAGGGGAGAACAGCCACACATTATATATTACAGCCCACTGTTACTGTGAATCGGTTGTACAATTCATCCCCACTCTCTGGGAGACATTACTGCCTTTGGTAGCATCGATTACTATTCACTGTCGGTACAATCCTTCCAAAGGTGGGCACTTACAGCTTTTGTTTATGAGAGGACAATGTCTCTCGGTCTCTTATGGCACCGCGTTATATCAGAGCCGTCCTCGCTGCTGCAGCAATGAGAAAATGTGCCACGAAAATAATCTTGTCTCCCTGTTGCTCTCACCTCCTTCTGCTCTACTTCCACATCTGTGGACCTTCTGGACAGAGAGCAGCGTCACTAGATGCATGGGGGGGAGGGGACATATTTTTATGACATCAACCTGTTGTCTTACAGTAATGGAGCATGAAGCAAACATCAGCAAATTATGTGCAGAAGATATAACTGCTTGATTTTTATTTTTTGATGTAGCCGTGCAGCGAAACCATGGGCAAGGCAGGGAGTAAAGTCCTGAGAGAAGCCTCGGTGGACGGGGTTCCAGCCCAGGTAAACAGCAATCACCTCACACACAAACAACTCATGCCTGCACACACGACACACAAACACATGCAGGAACTGAACTAGCAAATCAATGCATACTCACCGGGCAACAAATGTGTTTAACTAAGAACACATTTCACTGCTGTGTGTGTGTGCTTCTGTGTGTGTGTGTGTGTGTGTGTGTGTGAGTCCTGACTCTGGTGAAATGGGCCAGCTGCTGTGCTCTCCATCTATCACAGGTTATGCAACCAGGATCATCCGCAACTTGCTTTCACACTTCATTTTCCCACATCGCATTATGATACCTATAATGATCAAAATGCATTACTGAGCTTTGGAAGGGCCGTTAATATCTTGTGAATAAGCTGAGCAAAGGAGTGATAGTCACTGGATGTACCATCAGTGGATGGATATGAATTATATTCAGGGTGTGTTTTACTTATATAAGCTATCAGGTTGAGTATCATTTAAAAATCGTTATAGATGGTGTGATATTTTCTGGAAATTCAATTGAAAAAAACATTTATAGATAAAACAACCTGACACCCTCCTGCTTTGTTTAGTTTGCAATGCTTTTTATCTTGAGTGCACAAGATTTAAAAAAAATATCTTTCAGGACCTTCAGGGACGTTTCCAGTTTATCTCGGGAATTGAATGAAATACATTATACTTCATGGAATTTAATGCAAAAACTCTGTAAATCCCATTTTTACATAAAGCTTTCCTGCTCATGTATTTTTGAAGTTCACCCTATGTTTTGCCTATTATTCCTTCACCTAGAGATTCAACAAAAGCAATATTCAAATACTCTTGGACTCTTGTATGTTTGTGAAATCTGTTTGAGTGAAGAAGTTGTTGACAGCAGTGCATCTCATCCTCGGTCATTATCCAAATTCCCCTCAACATTCCAAATTGTCTGTCATTCCCTCACCCAGTTGATCCACACTCGCTGCACCCAAGTGATTGTACTTTCCAGCTCATGCTCCGGCTAAAAGGCGCAAAGTATCACCCCATCTCGACTCGCGCTGGCCCGAGTGGGTGCCATCTTGGTCAGCCCGTGCTGCTCGGTGGTGCGCTCCACAAGGCGAGGGCAGGACTGAAGTGAATTGATTCACAGGGATTAGGGATTAAGACTTCCCCGGGTGCTTTGGTGGAGTAAATCTAGGGATTAGGATGTCAACGGCCTGTGGCTGCAGGAGAGGAAATTGAATTCTGAAGGACGAGAGCGGCAATGGCCCAGGATTACAGCACAGTCAGCGACAAATCATGGGAGATGGGAGTCCGTGTCTGTGCCTTTCTCCCGCTCAGGAACACCTCCATGGGACACCATTTACTGCCTTTGGGCTGCAGGAATAATTTACATTTTGAGAATTAACTCAGAGTAAATCTTTAGGATGTTGAGCGTGCAATAAGAAGATCTCTGTGTCACTGGTAATCCAGTCCTTCCTGCTGTGACCTGTGAAGCATCAGGTGGTGAGTACCGTTAAGTGCAACAGGGAACAAGGGGAAAGGGATTTGTGACTTATTTTTTCAACTAGAATCAACAGAAAACATGGAGGAGAGATCTGGTCAGAGAATCCACAAACAGGCTTCGTGCTAACCTTGTGTGCTGTGTTTTATGTGCCTGTCTGTTCGTATTCAAGCCAACTCCTGCTGTTGCTGCTCCTGCTGCCGTTAAATTCGAAGGACTCACCAAAACAAACAAGATGAAGGTGAAATGGACCCAGCTGGGTTTGGTGTTCTTCCTCGTTTTGTCACTGGTTATGACTGGATGCTTCTTCTGGCAATATCAGCTGCCAAAACTTTTGCCAGGTGAGAGCAAACGCGGGTTGGACCGCATCGTGTTGAGCTATGAGTTGTGTGAAGACTCCACCTTTTCTGAAACTTGAAGTCAACAAATCCTATCAAATGATTTCATCATCATCAGGATGCAATTATTCTTATTTTGGTCTGTAAAACCTGGAACATATGACTTCTCCTTATTTATTACATTCAACACTGAATCACAGCCGTTAGCTTGCAGCTAAACCTGTGGATGCTCCTTTTTTATCCGATCTGACGGCCACAGCAACGACCGATAATCTCAGTTCCAACGTTGATAATCAATAGATTATTCCCTCTTAATTAAGGAACTATATATCTTGTAATCAGGAGATAAAACAATCTCTTAATCGAAAGATCTTCATCTTGTATTTATGAGATAAAGCGTTAGCTTGCTAAAATATTAGCCTGCGGTGGTTTGTGCTTGCTGGAGTGTCTATAACTACCAGCATCCTAACAAGATCTCAGTAGGCTGTGTCACTTTAAACATATAGCAAGTTGATCATTTTTCATTTCTCAGAGGGTACAAGTTGAATTTTGATATGAAAGACGGGTTTGTGGTTACACATTGAAGTGTTTTTAATTGTTGTCCTTTAATCCAGGGAAATCAGTGTAAACGTCAAATCCAACACCAGAATATATTCTGTACTGGTGTTTTAGATCAGGGGTTCTCAAACATTTTAGGGCCAGGGGGAGAAAACTTTCATAATCATAACCCAGAGTATGCATAATGCTTACTACCATTCATGCCATTTCAATTTGAATCATGTTAATACCACGTTTTTAAACGGAGGGTCATTTTATTCAAATGGCATTTGGACTCAACTTGCCAGCATTTATACTTTTCAGGTCATTGATTTTAAAAGCTTTTGGAAAATGAAGAGTAGCAGACATTTAAACTTGAGTGAGTGCTTCATCTTTAAAACAAGGATTTTCTATTGGGCCAAAGCTAACGTCGGTGGGAATAGCAGACATGATATGCTTATTTTATGGGTGCTAATGTTCCCCATCTGTAGATATAGAAGTTTTTCCGATACAGCAAAATTTGTAAGCCAAATATTTTGGCGGATTCCTGACAGAGTGCCACGGGCCCTACTTTAAGAATCACTGTTTTTGATGAAAATGTTTTGGTTGGGTTCTTTAGAGTCAAAAGTCCTTATTCTCCAAAACACAACCCAGGTTTATAATCTCTACTATATATGAATGTACATGAGTAGAGTAACATCAGGTGATAGTATTAATGGGAAAAGCACAGCTCCACAGGCTCCCATTTGTATTTTCCGATGTGCACTGATTCATCTTTTATATTCCAAAAAAGACATTTTTCACGTATAGCAGTCCTTTAGAATGAAAAGGCAAATAATGCCCTGAAGCCACAATGAAACATGTTGAAATATCATATTGTTCGTCCAGAGCTCACAGTGGGAACAGGCAGCATCTGTCATATAGCCTACCATATTGTATACCGTTAGATCAACGGGGTTCATCAGGAAGCGGAGAGAATTAATGAAGCCCCAAGCCAGCCAATTATCCCGCATTACACTGGCCTTTGTGCTGCCGATACATTATTCTATCAAATATGAAGTGGGGATTTCAGTAGCCTGCCCCCCGGACGGTGCTTCCTTTGCTCTTTCATTCTCTTTCCCTCTCTTTCCCTTTCTCTCATTTCCCACTCAACGCCCAGATGAAGGGGTGGGTCGCAATGCCAAATCAGAGATGATGTGTCCTCGCTTCCCCGAGCCTCTGCAGCTGGAGCATCCGATCCCCGGTCTGAAAGAGGCCCTGGAGAAGGTGAGATGTGCCGTCCATCAAGCACAGATGTCATATTTCTATTACGACCACTAAAGTCGCAGGACAGTTACAGGCCAAACGCGGTAATCCTTCACACCAAATGCTGTTGCAGTTGACAGAAGGAGATTAAAGATGTAGTGGATGAAATACTGAGCAGGGAGCAGCAGTGTTCCCAGTTGATCAACCACATGCAATGACATATATTGACACATCAGCTCCTAAAAGAGAAGCAATGAGTTGAGGGCATTGAGGGCTTAACTGTGTGTAGTGAAGGAATAGATGAACATCAGCATCAACATTTGACTCATTCATTTAAAGTTGAGCAGCAGTTTGCCAGTTCAATTACAGTTTCTAGTTGCCTGTACTGTGTTTCAACCAAACACTTGAAGACAAACTGAAAAATGAGAATCAAGCACATGGATTATATACTGTATATACATTTCTGTGAGAGGGATCTTTTGCTCATTTCTGCCTTGGGAGCAAAATTAAGAATAATTAAATCTTCCTCTCCAGTAGTTTTGAAGAATAATTCAGTTTTACCTGCAGATTTAACTTCCCGTGCAAAAAAAGCATTAATTTCTCCTCGTAAAGATAGCAATACAATTTACATTCTGTGCTCATTAAACTAATATTATTTGGCAAAGTGGGACATCAAAGAAATTGCTGTGGGGCTTCATATTCCAGTTAATAATAATTTCTCTGTTGTAGTTGGTCGAGGTGAAGCTAATTTTAACTATTGTGTCGATACGGTTTGGTATTTTCATCCAGTGGTTTCTAACCCAGTGGTCCTGTCCTCATAAAAAGGGCCACAAGATAAGTCTGGGGGCCTTTTCTTCTTTCATGTGAAAGATTGATCAATGCGACAGGAAAGAAGAAAAGAAGAAAATGCAAATTTTTGTATCATCATTTCTCTAATCTTTCCTTTTTTTGTGAAATATTGGAAAAGCTCTTTTAAATAAAATCATCTGAGAAGTCTGGAGACTTACTCTCTGATTGAACTGCTAACAACTCATCTAAGACGTGACGAGGGACCAAAGCTCTACAGTTATTGCAAGAATTGTTGTTACGTCCAGAGGAGAGAAAAATGTCTATTACTGATTCTTTTCTTACGGTCGGTGTTATGATGCTCTTTGTAGCAGTAATCAAGTACTGCAAATGCATTTCACTTGAATTGATATCCAGTAATAGTTCATGATTTTTTTACCTCCTGAATATTTTAGGTAGAGTGTAACCTTCTCCAGGGCCCTTAACTTAGGTTTTCAGTGTGAGAAGATCAAGACCGCTCTGGTGTGTATGCTAAACACGTAGCTGCAGCCAGCTGCCGGTTAGCTTAGCTTAGCATAAAGACTGGAAGCAGGGAGAAACAGCTGGCCTGTTTTCCTCAAAGTATTCTTCACAAGCTTCCATATAAAGTGGAGACATTTTCTGAATTGAGTCCTCACGTCCTGCTCGGCCTCATTCCAGGTGGACGCTGTGCTTCGGCAGAGCATCAATCCCATCAGCCTCCCCTCTCTGTCGGCCATCGTGATCTTAAATGACACAGTTTTGTGGACCGGCAACTTTGGAAAGAGGAATGGCAGTGACCCTCTCTCGGGACCCCCCAATGAGTACACAATTTACAGGTGAGCGCTTGATGAAACACCAGGACAGCAGCCAAGATTTTAATAATTATAGTAATTACAAAAATAAATACAATTTAAAATACTACTACCACTACTACTACTAATAAGAATCATAATCATAGTAATGATAATGTTTAAAGTTGCAAGCAGCGATGAACCGGGCCCATGCACATTACCGTACGTCAGAGCGAGACGCTGGTCTATTTAGATTGTACTGACCAAATTTGAAGAGGCTTTTTTGTACGTCTCCACATGTTACACCTATTAAATTTCATAGAGCATGAAAGTTAATCATTCAAATTAAGCAAGCAAGCCATTTTGTAACACCGAGCATATGACCCATAAAATATCAAACTGTTGGCCGGTCCTAATGAGTGCGCAAAGTTATGTTTTCACACAACTTGTGCCCCTCAAAAAGGTGATTCATTGCATAGAATAATAATGATGACAATAATAATAATAAAAAAATAAAAATCATGATCAATCAATTCAGCTTAATAGAATGAATAGAGGCCGCTAAAAGTACAGATAATGAACTAGAATCAAATATCAAACAATAAAATAATTAACTACAAATTTAAACCAACGAAAGACTTTAAAAAAAGATTGTCGTGTGTCACTCAATTATATATACTGCTTTTATTTATTTTCTTTTTTGAATGGAGCACATATAACATGTCTCTATTTCCCTGTTTAGTACCACATTACAAAGTTCTTTACATTTCGCTTCTGGGAAATTACAGATCTGTAAAGTAAAGTGATGCATGCTTTATTTCCCATGAAGGTTTAAAAGCACTTTCATCTTTCTCCACACTGCCAGGAGTAAAATTCTGGGGTAGAAATACTTGATTGTTTATTCAAGTGTTGAATGTAAACTCCTCTCAAGGTCACTAAAACCCAAGATTTCCACCTGACCTCAGTATCCTCAGTAGTAGTAGCACTACAGCCCTGATTATCGCTCCTCAAACACCTCTTCGATGAGGCTCTTCTTTGGTGCGTTTTTTGTCATAATAATGTTGCTGGAGTCTGAAACACAAAACACATTTTTTTGTCTGCTCTGCAGAGGAGGCAGTGTGTTGTCATTATGGGATGAGCATCATTACATTACTTTAATAATGGGCAATAAGCTCGGGATATAAATATCTTTCAGCCAGTATACATCTGCACTGAAGTTCCTGACTGATGTGCAACGGATGTTGCAGCATGATGGAGCCATGTTACCCCTGGCTCTAAAAAGGCTAAAGTAACTACTTAGAGTGTGCTATAGTGCAGGAAGGGAAGCAACATAACAATCACCCTTCCAAGGGAAAAGAAAGGGACAGGATCACACAGACCGACCAGATGGCGTTAGCAGGGACAACTCAGCATCTTTTTATCCTGTAGGTTGATCAATGATTAGAGCCAATACACAGTGTTTAGTAGTTACCTAGTGTCAGAATGAACCTGTCTGTCTCTCAGATTCCAGAAATCATTTTAATCGTCTCTATATGTATAGGGCCCTCCGATAGGGTAAAGAGATATATGGTGTGGTGTAATACCTGTGCTACCAATACTTTTTTGTTTCGACAGATTTAGATCAGAACTCTGTAGCAGAACCGCAGTTTGTCAAGAACTGGCCGACATAAAGCCAGTTGAATTTGGCAGTTGAAGTTATTTATTGTAAGAACAGATTGTTTTGATAAAGTTACCTCTCCAAAATAAAAATAGAAACATTTCCTCAGGATCACAGTTCCTGTAGTTTATCACAAGTCTGGTGCAATCAATAGACATAAAAGAGGATAAGCTGTCCACACAAGAGTATCAACTTTCATAGCAATCCACAGATTAACAGACGCACCAACTGCAGCTGTAACACCGGGCAAGTGTCAAACTAACAAACTGTCCTTAATTTGGCGCTTTTAATGTTGCACTCCCATAAAGTTGGAGGCTTTGCTAAAAACGGACTGGCCCAAATTGATGCAGCCGAGGCTGGGATGTCCTGACATTTGGTCTCTAAACTGAGATTCTACAATTTCAGTTTTCTATTAAAAATTCTTCAAGCTCAATGCATGAAAACCAAGATGACATGATCGGGGGGTTATTTTCTCTGATTTTAGAAAGCTCCTTCTGAGCCACAGGAGATCAACAACCGTGTGCACATGCTGAGCGGTATACTTGGGTGTGAAATTGGTGGCCTTTACAAGAAATAAATAGATAATCTAAAAGTCCTCACTCGAATGTTGCGAAAATGCTAAAAGTCAGTTATATAAGATATTTGATTCGACAACATACAATGTGCAGCATATGCCCCCCCCCCAGCATAAGTGTCTCCGGAGTTTAACTTTTACAAGATAGAACATCTAATCTCAGGTACATGAATTGAGTGCTCTGACTCCTTAAACCAATATGAGTATTTCTATTTTTTTACCGACCATTGACCGTATATAAGAAGTTGTAAAAAAACAATCCCATTGCTGTGTGTTATCTGTCCTTCAGAATTGCAAGCCTATCAAAAATCTTCCCGACCTTGATGCTGTACAAACTGTGGGAAGATGGGAAGATCGGCTCCCTGGATGATCCTCTGGAAAAATATGTGGAGAACTTCACCATCAAAAATCCTCTGGGGAAGATGCGAGACTCTGAGCTGAAATACGTGACAGACGGCCTGATATTTCTGGACAGCGGGGAGGTTCAGATCCGCTCCTCCTCGGTCACTCTGCGCAGGATGGCCAGCCAGCTCTCAGGTAACAACAGGAGGTTATAGAGAGCAACGTCAAATTCAAGAGAGCCAACTTCTGTGATGTGGCTGTTAAATCTACAGTTCAGGCAGTTAACTTGATGTGAAAAAGCATCTTAGAGATGGGATTTATTGTAATGCCGGTGCTGCTATAAACCCAAGGGAGCTGACTTATTGAAACAAACACTTAAATAGAAGAAGAAGAAGAAGAAGAAGAAGATGCTGCTGGTATATTTGACGCACCGTTTTCTCTGATCAAAATGTGTGTTGAACGTAAACATCCAGGTTGCAGTTCCTTTGTATTTCTGAAGTTTGAAGATTAAACTTCTTACTTTTTATTTATTTATTTCAAAGCTGAAACAATCAGTCAAATAATTAATGTTATTATATATTATGTTTTTATTCAACTATCAGGATAATTGTCATTTTTAAGCAAAAATGCAAAAACATTTCATATTGTATCTGATTTAAACATCTAGGGGTTTTTGACTTTTGGTCAGACAAAAACAGTAATTTGAACACGTTACCTTGGCGAAACTGAGATGTGCTATTACAAAAAAAGATGAAAAATAATCTTCTAGTTCGTATGTAAAGACTGCAATGGATACCTGCTACAGAGACATTTGAGCTGTTCAGATACTTATCATGCTGGAGTCAACAGTTACATCCATATATTGTCTCAGCAAACTATTTTACAATCGTCGCCCATAAACAAACTTTTCAATCTGTAAAACCACACTCTGTGTAATGAACTCAAATAAAAGATGAGGGAAACACCTGAAGCAAGACAAGCTTTGAATCTTTAAATACCCCGTTGTCTCCGTTTATTATCAAGGTATCAAACCTGAACATGATAATCACATTCAGAGAACTGAACCGAATTTGTCTCGTACCAGTACTCTACAAATAACCACCTGACTGAAATAAAACATGAAGACTTGTTTCATTGAGCAGGATAGAAGAACAGATGGTCTCGCGCATACAAATACAATTCATGTGTTACATTTGCTGCCTGAAGTTTTTTTTATTTAACACTGTTGTATGGTGGGCTGATGCAGGCCTACCCAGGAGACTTCGCGCCACAAGTCTGCTTTGGAAAGGAAAAACACAAACTGCAATCAATCTGCTGCAAGATGATGTCCTTGTCGCAGACCCAGGCACCAAGTAAGATTTGTTATGCCGAGTTGATTTCAGTATTTCAATATGTACATTTTTATTTTGCAAACTGGGGGTATTAAATTGTGTAAATGCATAAATTTGGCACGGGAGGGCCTTAGTCATTTGCTGACGACAACATATTTTGTGTGATCTGTCTGATAAAAGAAATAGTTTGACATTCTGGGAAATATGCCCACCCGCTTTATTGTCAAGGGTTTGATGAGAATATTATTTATGCATGCAAAACATAAACCTACAGCCAGCAGCCCGTTTGCTTACCTTATCATAAAGGCTGGAAACCGAGGGAAACACCCAGCCTTGCTTTGTCCAAAGGGGAGAAAATCCATCGACCAGCACCTCAGTGGTTCATGTTGAATCTCAAAACCCCTTTTTCGATTTAAAATGATTGGTTTTCATGCAGAGATTAATTCAGTCAAAACTTGATTGCATTTGCAAAAATATGTGCCCTGTCAAAGTAGTGCTATGAGGTTGGATTTTACAGGGGTTTTGATAAATGCAAATGCCAATCCAACTGTTTTGAATGCATAAAAAAAGTAATTTACTCAGATTTTAAGCATATAGTGGTGTTTTCTTTATACTATGACAGTCAGTTTTCCTAAAATTTGATTTAAAGTATCGCAATATCTTGAATCGTAACCCCTGTGTCATGATACGTGTCATATTACCGGATTCTTGCCAATACACAGCCCTACTAATTATCACATTTGTGTCTGTTTAATCCGCACAAACAGCAGCTAAAAATGTTGTGGTTTAAAGGGGATGTGTGCCGTTAGTTTCAATCGTATTTTCATCTGCAGTTCCAACCCAAGTTGTCAGTGCTGCCAGCCATATAACCCTTCAAACAACCACAACTTGTCGCTTTTACTTTTCAGTTCTTGCACAGATGAAACAAACAACATATACCGCGTTAGTACATTTTAGAGGGTCTGGTCGGCAGGTTGGACGGAGTCAGGCGAGCTGTTTTCAGTTTCAAGTCAAGCTTCTATTTATCCTTCAAACAGTAGAGTGGTTTCAACCATAACCGTAAACAACAAAGCTATTGAGCATAATCCCCAAAATATTGAACTATTTCTTCAAGATAGGTGTTGAGTTTGCACTTGTAAAATAGTTTATCTCATTTTTTGCATCAACAACCAGATTTTTGAAACACTCTCCATCTCTTTCACTTGCTACCTTCCAGATGTCACTACAGCAACCTCGCCTTCTCGCTGCTGGCTCACGTGATGGCCGAGCGAGTGGCCGCCGTTGACTACCAGCGGTGGATCACAGACAACATCCTGGACCGGCTGGGCATGGAGGACACCGGCTTTGACATCACCCCGGGGCTCCAGGGCCAGATGGCCGTGGGCGTGTACTCCAACGGAAAGCCAGCCCCGCTCTACGACCTGGGCTGGTACCGGCCTTCGGGTCAGATGTTCTCCACGGCCGCAGACTTGGCCAAGCTCACCATGATGCTGCTGGGCGCTTACCACCGCAAGATGCTGGAACCAGACTCATTGAAGATCATGCTAACCCCGCTTTTCAGGTGCGATAAGGACTACTTTGCCAACCGTACTGGGACGCCGTGGGAGGTGAATGAGCTCATGGGCTACGAGATGGTGCGAAAAGATGGTGATCTGGACGGCTACTCTGCCACCTTGTCCCTTGTACCCAGAATGAAGCTCGGTCTGGTGGTGCTTATGGCTGGCAGCCGACCTCAGAACCAGGACTTGGTCACCAAGGCCTACAACCACATCATACCAGCCATAGAAAAAGCCTTCAGGGAGGGCAAGAAGGTCCTTTATCGTCCACCAAACCCAGAACCTTACATTGGCTTTTTCACCTACAGTAACATCACCTTCTACGAGATAAAAGTCGGGTCCGACGGAGTTCTGATCATGCAACAGTTTGGGCCTCAGATTGAGGAGGTGATTCCAGAGAAGTACAGGACAATAAAGCTCAACTACCTGGTTGACCGGGTGTTTAGAGTGGTTTTTGAAAAAGAGTACCCTTGTGTTTTGCGAGTCGGGACGGCCTCAGTGTCCCTAGAAGCTCAAGATGGCCAATTGTTTAACTTCTACACGTTTGACAAGCGTGGTTTGTCCCCTGGTTTTGATGCACCGGGACTGAACACATACAATGTGGTCAGAATATCCCGCAGGCCATCCTTCTCGAGCTGAACTGCAGCCTGAAGTCAACTGATGTTTGCTTGAGATACGTGAAGGACTGTAAAAAAAAAAAAAAAATGGGGCTGTGAATATTGAAAGGCCAAACGATAAAGTCTGGGTCATTTTGGCGATGAAAGATGGAATTGTGCTCTTGATTTATAGAAAGCACAGAGAGGGACGGCAATATGTAAAATGTCTTGCACAGAAAAGTAATGAATTTATGCTAAATGATGTGTATGACTGTCCTTCATTCGGCCTCCCGCCTGAACATTCACACTATGGTGATACGGTGCATGTGTTTTGCCTTCTACTAAACCGCTGTTACATTGTCTCCGTCTCTTCTGTCCTTGAGTTTCACGAGAGAACACGGGCTCACAATGAACTCCTCCAGTGGTTATCTACATAAATATTTCCATAGATTTCATTTTCAATTCTTTCGACGATGATTGCAATTCCACGAATGAATAAACTCATACATCATTGGTTGAATATATGTATGATTGGTTTGGGTGACAATAATATTAAATTTCTAGTTACTATGAATTAACTAAGCTAGTGCCAGGGAGAATCAGGACTTTAAAGCTCCACATGAATATGCATCACTTCTATTTAAATGCAGATGTTGCCACGGAATGGAACTGCTAATTTAATGTCAAGAAGCACACACAAAGATGCAAAATATTGTGGCGCCCCAATAAGAGGCGATAAAGGACATAGAAGCTTTTGGTTGCCTGTGTGACTCATTGCTGTTTTAGCCCTAAAAATGGACTCCAATTTGTCTCAACCTCTAACACCAAGAAGAATAATAAACTGCTCTGACTGAAAATGACAGATTCAAGCTTACAAAAGTAACCCCTATGGCCAAGGCCGATGTTTTACCGCTCATATTAGATTATGTGTCTGAATATATGATGGAAATGGGATAGACATTAAAAATGTACCAGGTGCAGCGAGTACAATTGAGGCAATGTGAAGAAGTAAATCTACTGTGTCCACTTCATCTGGCTGTGGATGAAAATATTGAAACTGCCGTTCAACTATGAAATGATATGTTGTCAAGGCCCACAGATTTAAGCTTATTCTGATGGATGGTTTGGAGGAAAAATGCAATCATGGCTCATGCAGTATTGTATCCAACAAAACCAACGTGTAAAGTACACTTTTTGTTGTTTCTCTGCTTTTGTTGAGGCTTGCTATTTGAGATAAATGACAGGCTTATGCAGCCTTCCACAAAGCAACAATAACACAATACAATCATGATGATGATTTCTGCATTCATATGTCAGTCATCAAAGAAACAGAACAGCAAGCATTACGATGGGTATGAAAGATAATAATAGCTACGTGTGGACAGCTTCAACATATATTTATTTTAAATCAGGCATTTCACAAAAGCCAAAATCTTTTTTTTTTGCAATCACATTGAACAAGGGCTGACCATTCAATGACATCTCGTGCATGAGAAAAAATAGGAAAATTTCACAGTGAAGCATTACAGTCTTTGTTCACAAGAAGAAGCAGTTGACCTGTTTTTGCTGCCCGGCAACATATCAATTTTCCAAATACAAAAAAAAAAAGAAAACAAGAACATGCATCATTTAGATTGGATTGGATTGTCCCAGTTCCCCTCTGGATTGAACTTCTAAGGCATACAGCAGTCACAGAATAAGACAGCAGGTGAAATATGCAGGCACTGTTGAATAATATGATTCATAGCAAACAAACTAATCAAAACTTCACGTACAAGCTATTTAATGACATGTAAGTTTAAAGAAACCATTCAAAACCTTTGAGAAACAGCTTCACTTTCTCGCAGTGTTAAACGAGAACATCAATACCACTGGAGCTAGCAGACGGTTACCTTAGCATCAAGGATATGAATCCGCTAATAAGCACCTTTAAGTCTCACTAATTAACACGTTATATCCCTTTGTTTAATGTGTACAAAGTGTAGAAACATCTTTTTGGTCTCATAAAACCCAGACTTGTCGTTTTTTGAGGAAACACAAGTCTCTAGCTTCACCACTTGTTTATATGATGTCGGTTAGCATCGTAACCCAAAATCACATTTTATTGGATACATTTATGGAACAAAGTTCAAAATGAGTCATTTTGCAAGAGAGAAAAGAGAGGGATTTTTCTGAAAAATACTCACTTATGATATAACACTTTTACATTTAGCATGTAACAGGAGATAAATTAATAATTAACATAAGGAGACATTAAAATGTATTTTTCATTTGACTGTGTCCAAAATGTCCAACTATGGTTTCTCTGTTGCTTGTGAGCTTATTCAAATCTAGTCTAAGTTAGAACACAGAGGTCTCTTTACATGCACATGTGAGGATCGCAGTGTCCATGCTCAGTGTCATGTTAGGAGACAGCAAAGGGATGCAAGTGTTGGAGTCCTTCCCTTCAGCCTGGGCTCTGCCACTTGAGACAGAGGGTTCCACTAAAATCTTCGGGAATGGTGGCGAATCTCTGACAGAATTGTTATCCTCCGTCTGGGAGCAAACGAGTTCTCGGAAACACTCTCTGAACCGCGTGGAGAGCAGGCTGTAGATGATGGGGTTGACTGCGGAGCTGAGGTAGAAGAAGACGCCCGACACGATGTGGACGTACTGATAAATGTTGTACATCAAATCGGTCCACTGGCTGATGGAACTCCACAGGAGCCTCTCGATGTGGAATGGCGCCCAGCAGACTCCAAACACTGCCACCACGATCGCTAGAGGATCAGGCCAAAGAGAATGAGGCGGATTAAAATGTATTTGTTTTTTGTTGCATGTTAAAGGCTTTTCTTTGTTGCTGCTCTCAATTATTTATAGAGTAGAGATGACGTTGGTACCCTTATGGGCAAGATCAAATTAGATGAAGATACTGGAAAGACAATGGAGCTAAATGCTATAAGAACATCATCCTACAATGGACACTAGTGGGGATCCAGATTTACTGCAACACCCTGTTTTTGATATGACAAATGAGCAAATCTAACAAATCTAACAACTTCATCCACGCCAAAGTCCCTTCTCCACGTTCTTGTCACAGCATAGGAAAGCACATTGCTGTAGCCAGATAAGCTGCCAATCACAGAATAGTATTAGTCAGTACTAGCCAATCACAGCACAGTAGGGCGGGACGAGGTGGAACATTCTTGGGGGGAAAAAAACAACACCTCCTGAGGGCCATGGGAAGACACAATAGTTGTCTCTGCATTTTTTCTGCATTTTTGATCATATTGTAAGAAGAATAAGAATGTCAATGTCAATGTACAGTGTTGTAGTCTAAATTATGTTTTAAGAGTTTTGATAGACCACTTTAAGATCCAAAGTGTTCTCATGCTACTAGCATTGATGTCATGTAGCTACATTGCATGTATTTGCTAATGCAGTAGAAACAACTCAGTCCTTTTACTTTCAGTCCTGTATCTAAAAATTTCCATTAATCAATTTGTCGATCGGCAGAAAATTTATCAGTAACTATTTTGATCGACTTGATACTTCACTGAGAATACCAATTAATTGAGAAAATAACCGCAGATTATTCAAATATTAAAATAATTGTTTGCAGCATTTGCTCACTGACTTAAACTCACTCTCAATCAGGTTGCTTAATGTCTTTGAAGCAACTGACTAGTTGCCACTCCTTTCCACAGTGGCTGCTGTTTCGCAAAAGCAGTGTTGTGTCACTTTAACAGCCACAATATATCCCCTGAAAAATCCCACACATCCTTTAAAGGTGCTGTGTGTAGGATTTGTTTCCATCTAACTGTGAGGTTGCAGATTGCAACTAAATAAAACGTCTCCTGTATGCTCAGCATGTAGGAAAACTACATTCTCCAATGTGAAAAGGCGAATGGCCCTATAGAAACAGTGTTTGGTTTGTCCCTTCTGGGCTACTGTAAAATCATGGAGGCCGGCTCTGTGAAACGTAAACACGATTATTATTTTTCAGGTAATTATGCACAAAAGAAAACGTCCTTATTAATATTATATTCCCTTTAATGTATCTCCCTAAATGCTACACACTGTATCTTTAAAAGGTTTTTTTTAGATAAATATGAGAAGATCTAATGACATTTACTTAACAGGATAAAGCTGGAATAATATTGTCCCATTACAGTTTATTTATACATGGCCTAAAAAATAAAACTCAGCACACAAGGGCATAGCGTCTTAAAAAAATATGGCATGGTCACTTCACTTTAAGTGTGGCAGATAATGGCGACAAAGCACTCATTCCATTCCTCTCTTAATAGTCCATGCAAAATGCTCTCCGCATGATCTCACTGAAGGAGGGGCAGCAGGCTGTTTGGCTGTTTACGATGGTGGGCATATGGCATCAAGCTAACTGACTTAGCTTTGTCGGGAGCTTGTTGGCTCATCACACATTGAGAGCTATTTATAAATGTGGCAAACATTTGACACTTAGTCTCTTTTTTTACTAACAAGAGAGTTTGTGAGAGAAGTTTATTCACTTTTTCCATTGACAACCATGACAACATTTCACAGTAATAGCCATGTTTTCTGAAGAGACAAAATAACTCACAGAGCATCTTGTTGATCTGTCTCCTGCGCCCGTTCCCACTGATCTTCCTTCGAATGATACTGCTACAGTTCTTCGCCAGGTTCCCGCCGGGCTGCCGCCTTTCCCGGCACAAGTGAAGGCCCATCACCAGGTACAGCACGCTAATCACCATCATGGGCACAAAGTAGAAGCACACAGTGGTGATCTGCATGAGCATGTTATAGATCCACAGGGGCTTCAGCACAGCGCATATAGCCGACTCCTCCATTCTCTCTGGGAGGTAGAAGATCCCGTGCAGGGAGGTGTTGGGGATGGCACATATCATCGAAACCACCCACACGATGGTGATGACCCGCTTGGCGTGCTGTTTGGTCGACAGGTATCGCGTTTTGAGCGGGTACACCACGGCTATATACCTCTCCACGCTGAGAGCCGTGACATTGAGGATTGAGGCAAAGCAGACCGTCTCGAAGAGGAAGGTCTTGAAGTAGCAGCCGCCCTCGCCAAAGGGGAACGGGTAGTTTTGCCAAAGGTCGTAGATCTCCAGAGGCATCCCGAACAACAGCACAAGGAGGTCCGACGCGGCCAGGCTCACCAGGTAGAGGTTGGTGGGGTTTCGCATCTTCTTGTGCTTTGCTATCACTGCACATGTGAGCACATTCCCAGACAAGCCGGTGATGAAGATGAGAAGGTAAACACTGGTGACGGGGAGGAAGAAGGGAGATCGTTTTGGACCCAGGATTTCGAGGAGGATGTCTTCCATGAACTGGTCGTTGGTGTAATTCCCAGTGGCGTTTAGAGGCATACTGGTGTTGTGGAACAGTGTGGATGCGTTCCAAGAGGAGCCCTGCAGCCAGAGCTCCATTTCAGAGAGGAAAGAGGAGATGTCAATACATCCTGCGCCAATTTCAGGGTTTGTTCACCACCGGGTAAAAGGCTGCTGTAAAAGGAGATAATAGAAAGATTAAACAAAAAGTGCCACCAGAAGAGGATTGCATTTGAGTTACAGCTGTGTGATCATTATTGGGGTCAAACTTTTCTTCTTTTTCTCGTTTCACAAATCACACTTTTAAACTTAGTGATTCACATAAACTCACAAACCTAATTATATCTTACGGGCTTGAAAAGTTTTTAATCTTGAACCCTATCAAGCTTAGAATCAAGGATATTTTAAATGAAACCAGAAATACATACACATATAGGCAGCGACTATTGATGGTTTTAATTCATCTTTCCATTACTTTCCTGATTATTTTGTTGTCTATATAACGCATGGCATCTTCATATTCCTTGTTTTAACCAAACATCAATCCAAAAACTCGAATACATTAAGTTTGCAATAAGATATGAGTCAAAGAACAAGTACTCTTCGTGTCTGGGAAGTTAAATGAAGAGAATGTGTGGAGTTTAAGCTTGAGAAATCAATGGAACAATTAATCAATTGTGGAGATAATCCCAGATAAAGTTTCTTTCCCTATTCTAATTGATTAAGCGACTTGAGGGGATCACCTGATGTAGAAATGCATTACTCATTTATCAAAACACACTTAGCAGTCAATAAATGTTGTACACATCTATTTCAATATTATTTTGGTAAGCAACTACTTTATTATTATTATTGTATTATCATTACAAATTCACTTTTCTATTTTGAGAAACTATTTCCTGTGAGCTAAAGTATGCAATTAAGTGAACAAGGACACTGCAGACAGGAACTGCAGCAACATCAGACCTAATTCTGTCTAAATTATGTAATTGCTACCCCTTATGACAAAATACATTTTCTGTTGGTCATGAATTAGGAAGAATAAGTTAAGTGAAGAAAACAAATTAACCTCATATGCAAATGGTAGTTCCCCCTGCCTGTTGAGGATCACTGCTTTTACTGCCACACTAATATGGTGGAACTCATTATCATCAAAAGACTGACTGTTACACTGGCGTGTAATTGGCATTACACTCGGCAGATGCTAATGACTTCTTCTAGAAGGTTAATTATGCCCTCCACATTTCATGCATCACCCTGCAAATCCAAGGTGTCAATTATTATTATATGAGGACTGTCGTTTAGGAATATATTTAATGTCAGTTTGTCAAATACTTAACAGCATCCGTCAAAAAGCACACAAAAAAAGATGTTAATACAGCTTACGGCATATATATGAACTTCATCAAATCCTATAGTAGTTGTTGAAAATATTTACAATATAAATAAACCTCACCTTGACGCTGCTGGTGTGCGACCCGCTCCTTAAAACGCGCTCTTATTGTGTTTGTAAAAGAGGAAGCAAAACGAATGAGACGAAGAACGCTGCAGAAAATATATTAAAAAAACAACGAATGCAAAAGTTGTTGGACGCGCTTCCGGTCGCTACAGAGGAGAGGAGACTGAAGAAGGACGTGCCAGAGAATGAACCGGTGAGATGTACAGAAAAGAGGTAGAGAGAGAGAGAGAGAGAGGGAGAGGGGGGAGAGAGAGAGAGAGAGAGAGAGAGAGAGAGAGAGAGAGAGAGAGAAGGGGGGGAGGGAGAGAGAGAGAGGGAGAGAGAGAGAGGGAGGGGGAGGAGAGATCACGAGAAAAAAACGAGAAGCGCTTGAATGATAACCATTCTCCACTCCATTAAAATCGCCACCTGGAACGTTCTTGGTGTTCAATCGAGTGTTTATCGTCAACAAAAAATTGAGTATTTATTGGACATTGACTTTGATATTCTATGTACTCAGGAACTCAGACTGAACACAAATAACGACGTTGATAATGTCTGCGCCATGTGGCCTAAGGGTAAAAGTGTAATATCTATAGGTGAGAGCAAGGCTGATGGTGTCGGTATCTTCTTTAAGACTCATGATGTTGTTGTTATTAGAAGAAGGGACATTATTCCAGGCAGGCTTTTAATGATAGATTGCCTTTTTAGAGGAGAAAAACACCGAATAATAAATGTCTATACTTTTCCAGACAAATCCCAAAAAATTGGTCTTTTTAAAAAACTTAGAGAATTATTGTCAGTAGGTTATAAAATAACCTATTATATTAACACAGTTACTGAAGACAAAGACAGATGTAGTACAAAGCCCTTCAAACTGAGTCCAGAGGGCAAATTTTTAAAACAAGTATGTGAAGAAACTAAATTAATAGATGTACGTAGATTTATAAACCCTTCAGGGCATGAATTCACCAGATTTGACTCAAAAACCAAAACCCGTATAGATAGAATTTATGTATCATCACACTTCAAAGCAATAAACTATCGAACCTTATTAAATGACTTCTCGGATCACCTCTTAGTAAAAACAACGGTGTCTTCTGGGACCTCAGCTAGTAGAGGCTTCTGGAAACTAAATACTCAATGCCTAAAAAATACAGATTTATTAAAGGAGCTAAAACAGGAAATGCAAAAAATAACAATTAAAAGTTTTAACCAAATCAAATATTAAATTATGGGAAATATTAAAATATAGAGTGAAAGATTTCTTCAAATGCATAGAATTAAATAACGCAAAAAATATATGTTATGATGAATTAATGAAGCAATACATTAGTCTGAAACAGAAGAAACAAAAAAACTACAGTAGACGAGGAAACCATGACTCACTGGGTTAAGAGGGTTGTCTGGGAACCGGAAGCTCAACGGTTCGATCCTCGACTGGGTCGCGTCACGTGTCGAAGTGAGCAATACACTGAACCCCAGGCTCCCTGGGCGCCTGTCATTGGCAGCCCACTGCTCCCTACAGGGATGGGTCAAATGCAGAGACATACTGGAGGTTCTTGCATGGCAACACGTTTTTGAAATTAGTTTCCTTCCTTTTAGGCAGCAATTAGTGTCAGTTCATTTCTATGAAACTCAACTTGCAAGGACTTCAGGACAACCATGTTTGAGCAGTACTTGTTCATGCAGTGATGCGATGTAGGTTTAACTTTAAAAAAAGAGATCAAATGCTGACTGTGATCATTTCAATGCAACACGTTTCAGATCTCACCAGGTTAATGTTTATTGTAATGAAGTGAAACCAATGGCTGCCAGAGGGTAGAAAACACATGTCATATCTGAGAAAGTCATTTGTGTGAGTTCAGAGGAGTGTTTCTGACTCAGCATCATGGGGTCACTTACCTGTGGTGTGCACTGTACATCAGATGCTCTTGTAAAGAGAGGAATTGTGTCTTTCCTCTCAGTTAGCAAAGGCCAGATCAGTGTCTCTTTTAACCCCTTCAGAACTGTTTCACTTGTCTTGAGGTTCTTCCAAGGACCTGCAAAACATTTGCATCACAACAGAAAAGCAAAGCAGCCTTACTAATCTTTAACTAGTAGTCGAATTAGCATTACTTAATAAACTCATCAACATCCATCATGAACTTAGCACATTTGCGGTCCTCGGTGCTGCACAAAAAATAACAAAGCAGTGAACGCCACATGGCTACCTAGTTCAGTTTAATAGAGTATATTGGCACTTTGACCAACAGTATTTAGCTAAACAACTGCTGTTGTCCCGCAGCAGGTCTGCCAGCGGCCGCCCGGTCGAAGCCACGAGTGCCGCTAGCTAGTTATCTGATGTCGTCCACAGGGATGATTTGTTAGGAATCGGTTGCTTCCGTCTTGCTCCAAGACTCGACTAATCCTGCTTAAGAATGAGGTTCGGACCGCCTACCTCACTAACATACGGACACAGAAATACAGAAATAAATAAATGAATTTAATCTCGGTAAATATTGTTTATATAACTTTAGTCCCCTTCCAGGTTCAAATTAATAATACAAAATATAATCAAGAAATAAACGATGATGTATTGTATCAATAAGACTGTATTAATCTATAAACTATATATATGAGCTGCAACATTAAAGTGATGAACACATTAATGCATCAGTTCTTCGGTGTTTGATGGGCGGATGACATCACTCACCGGTCCCGGTGCCGTAAACGATGACGTACTTATCAACGGCGGCCATCGCTGGACGCCACAACAACAAGGCGCTGGTGTCCGTGATGTTTAAGGCCCGGAGGTCTGTCGGCGGGTCGGGGACTAAAAGAGACATAAAGATGGTGAGAATCATCTTTATTCATCTGAACCAGAAATAAAACAATTACTGAATGACGACACGTTAAAATTCACAAAAAAAGGCAAAAAAACAGACAAAGAAAGCAGAGAGAAGAGTATTGTATGTGGTCACATATTTGTGGTATTTTTGAGACCAGACTCAAACTATGTGTATAAATATACGTGTATAAACAATAAGATCTCTGCCGAATTCATCCCTAGATTACGTTCAATGTTAGCTTAGCCTAGCACTGATGGATCCAAACTCCATTCAGAAAACAAACATTTTAAAAGTTGTTTGCTTGTCGTCTTGCTTACAGACCTGACGAAGCATGAATTCACAGATTTTCTACAAATCAGCATCATTATGTAGTTATTTCGGCATCTTTTTTATCCATTTATTGCAATTAAATCAGTTAATGTGTTGATTTTAGGTTCATACCGCTGAAGTAAATTAGCGATACGAATAAAAATACGAAAATTTGAACTCTTGACTTTCTTAAAGTGAATCTTATAGAAAAAAGGAAACTCTCATAACTGCTGAAAAACAACACCTCATGATTCAGTAATGCAGGGGCGTTTTTAAAGTAAAGACATCTCACTTAGAAAACACAGGATGCTTCATATTCGAACATTTGTTATATTCTCATTGCATTCAAGAGCAGCTCCGCTAAGACACAATAAAACAGGACTCACGTGTCATGGCGAAGTCTTTGATCGGATCGCTCTCGACCAGTCCGAGGACGGAGATGACGCTGACCTCGTAAGAAGAACCAGGTGAGAGCTTCGATAGGCCGAGGGTGGAGTCGTCCGAGTCCAGGGACACGGACACCGGCTCACCTGCAGACACAAAGGAAGCTGAAATGTGCGGGATATCGCAGATTCACTGATACTCTAATCGATTGTGGCTGAACGCCGGCAAGCTCGGCTGTGTTCTGGCCCCAGAGTAGAATATCTAAATCGATCAGTACATGAAAAACAATGTTAATTTTCCACATTGATCCAAATACTGAAGGTTCTGTTTCAAACAATATAAAGTAGTGTACTATTACTGTAATATATAGCCACGAGTCAACTTTAAAAAACGGATTATATATGATTTGAACATTACATCTCTGACTCTTTGGTAAGTAGCCAAGACAAGTAAAAGCCATAATAAACTCAGAGGTGTCCTGAAAGAGAAAATAACAGACACTTGTTACATATCATTGTTAAATAAATCAAATAAAACATGGATGTCAGTTCTCACCCCCCTCTGTGTGGGTGTAGGTGACCTTGAAACCACTGATGGGCGTCTTGGGTTTGGTCCACGACACCGTCAGAGAGTTTTCCGTCACCTCACTGAAGACGATGTCGGTCAAGGCTCCGGGCCTGAACGGATACGAAGAATACCATGAGAGCGGTGGATGAAAGCACGGGAAGGAGACGTGGGAAGTGAAGAAGAAGTAAAAGAAAAGCTGGAAACATGAAGAAGAACTTATGAAATAGGAAGAAGAAACATCAGGTGAAGTAAAGAAGTGAAGGTTTCAAGAAAAGATGACAAAAGTGGCCACTAAAAGAGTGAAAACAGTCTGTTCAGTATTATTTTATTCATCCACACATTTGCTATTAGTGCTCCAGTGAGTCTGAGTGTATATATGTACAGTGCAAACATATATACAGTATACAAATCATATACAGACACAGTGGCGGCTGGCCAATAGAGGGCAATGGGGCATGGCCCCACCTTGAGCCATGCAAAAAAAAAAAAAAAAAAAAAATTATAACAATAATAAATTATACAAATTGTCAATATTTGTGTTTTTGAACTGTGGAATGTACCCAGTAATATGTGTAAAATGTGATATCTGCGCAAAATATATGCTTTTCCTGCTTGTGCTCTCCGCCTGTGTGCATGACACGTCTCAGAACGCGCAGCTAGGGGGGCTAAATCGTTTTTGCCCAAAAGAGGCGGGTCTATGAAGCAGTTTAGCCAATTGCTGATTGAAGATATAAATGAGTGACATACAATTTAGCTAATCAGCGCCCTCAAATAGATTCAGTGTGGGGCCAAAAAGATTTTGCCCCCCTAGCTCGTCTCGTCTCGTCTCTACGCGCCAGCGCCAGCGCGAGCACTACTCCTCAAAGTCTCGTTTGAGAGGAGAACTTTGGCGGAGATTCTGCAGACCAAAGAGTTGATCCCAGATCAGCCTGACCTCACAATCAGACAGCAGACTAGCGGAAAGGGAAGCAGTACATGCGAAGCTTCTGTACTAGCTGAACACCAGACAGGTTTGGCTAGCAAGATGACGTCATGCTAATAACTTATTTAGCTTTTTAAAACAACGGGGACAGATCCAGCACGGACAGTTAGCGAGTGAGGGATGAG